ATGGAGAAGATGGATTGTTTATATTCAAAAGAAACACAGAGTGGTAGAATATAATTTAGGTTTCTAGATTTTTTTTTTAAGCTTGATTACTCTTTCTATCCTTTCTTGTAGATTAAGATACTTTGTGGAGTTAGAGATATTAGTATTTGTTTACTTTTATATGAATATTATTCTGGGATTAGGTTTGGGAAGTCCGGGGGGGTGGGTGGGTGGGGGTTTGATTGATTATTGTGTTTATTGTTGTTTATGATGGAAAAAATAAATAAAATTTCTTACAAAAAAAAAAAAGGACTCAAATCACTCAATAAACTCCTCAGAACAATTTCTCCAACTCATCAACCACACCAAGATCAACAAGGAAAAAAATCATGGTCTCCTTCAATGTCACCACACTCTTCACCTTGATTGACATCAACTTGGCTAAACAAACCATACACCACCTACTCACTAAATACCATACCCACAAAAATGACTCCACCACAGAACATTCCATGTCCACAGAAACCATCATCTATGCCTCAACACATATTTCAAGTTCAATGGGAAAATGTACAAGCAAATACAAGGCACCCCGATGGGCTCACCCATATCAAGCCTAATAGCAGAAGCAGCCATGCAACAACTCGAATCCATAGCCCTACCCACCATCCAACCAAAATTTTGAACACACTACATCAACAATACCTTCGTCATCATCAAATGCTCCCAAATTAAAGAAATACACCAACTGCTCAATAACATATTCCCTGGCATCAAATTCACACATGAAGAGGAACCAGACAAAAGACTCCCATTTCTTGACATCGACATAAAGAGAGTAGACAACAGAAAACTGGAAACCATATCTATTGCAAACCTACTCACGTATACCAGATCCTCAGCTTTGCAAGCAATCACCCCACCACATATAAAAGAAGCGGTGTCCAGACCCTCTTCAGAAGGGCCATGACACACTGCAGAACCACAACACTAAGAAAAGTGGAAGAGAAACAGCTGCTTGACATCTTTCAAGTGTGCTTTTTTTTGGAATGAGGTATGATTAAAGGGCCAGATCAGTTTCCAAAAATAAAGGATTTAATAAAGGAGAATACTATATTTGTAGCTCAGAATTGACATGGGGCTCCTTGGTGCTCTCTGAGCTTGTTTTCTTGCAGATGTTTCATTACCCAAATTATGTAACATCATCAGTGCTTGTAACTGTGTACCAAAGCAACAACCCAACCTCCCACAAGAGAAGCTGTGTAAGGACTTTATTTACATGAGCCCAAACACACTGCAGCAACATGGAACAATAGAAAAAGGAAACAGAGCATCTATACAACGTATTCCAACAAAATGGAAAGCCCTTCAAAACATCCTAAGCAGACCAAAAGACCCAACAATCCCAGAAGAAAAAACAGAGTCATCTACGATATAGTGTACAATGTAAGGACTGCAACAACCACTATGTAGGACAAATAGGCAGAAGACTGACAGAACACATCCAAGAACACTAACTAGCAGTCAGAAGACATGATGAAAATTCTTTAATTTCACAACATACAGTATAGACAGATTTAACCAACGTTTCAATTGGGAAAACATGACCATCCTAGACCAAGCCAAGTTCAAAAACACTAGGGAATCTCTTGGCACTTTGACAAATCAGCCATCAATAGACACATAGACATTAACAACATCTATAGATTATGCAAAAGAGACTATCACCCAGCCCAAAAAGGAACAAAAAGACCCAAACACCTCTCCACCAGCAATCAACACCCAGATCAGAATAGGTTAACATCAGACCAACGATCAAGTAAACAATACCCCAATCAAGAAACTATCAAAGAAGCCAACAGCAAACAGCCCAATCAAAGAATCTCTAAGACCACTCTCACTAACACTGACAGGCAAGCCACTAGAATATAAACTGACAGCAAACAGCACTCCTTATTAGCACTGATGATGTTATCTAGTTTGGGTAATGAACCGTCTGCAAGAAAAACAAGCTCAAAGAGCACCAAGAACCCCTCAATAAAGGATTTGTCCCCAGCTACTAGATGGGGCTCTACATATGCCAGAGAACAACAGTATATACATAAATTATATGCTGGGGGCATGACAACCACTTTGCCTCTTAATAATTAATCTTTATATTGTAGTTTTCACTATAACAATGGTTTTAGCTGAGAAGGAGCATGGTCCAAGAAATTAATATATGACATTAATAGATTACCTTCATAAAGAGCCCCATTTTGCTCTTGTTCCACTGCCTTCAGGAACAGTTCTCTTGCCTGCACAAAAATTAGTTATTTGTTTTTGGAATACCTTATATATAGGCAAAGAAAATTGACTTAAGTAATGAAATATAACCTTCTATTAGTATTTTTTTAAAATACTAATTTTTAAAAAAATCAAAAGCAGTTTTCCATGGCTAATTAAATTTTAATAAACAACCTAATTATGGACCTAAACTGATTGATTACTTTAATGTTAATCATGTTAACTGCACTGCAATCCTGTATTTTTTACTTCAATATCTGATCTTATTTTTAATCATATTTGTGCCTTTACTTCCTTGAACATAAATTCTAACAAGTGTACAAGGAATTCAGGACAAGTTTTTTTTTCTCATAATACTGACAGCATTATTCCAATAAGATACAGGTCAATTGTAAGAATAGAAATAAAAAAAAATAGGTCATACTTTATACATACTGAAACACTAAATGATGGATGTTAGCAGTTTAGGAATAGCAATAACAATAGCACTTAGACTTCACAGTAGTTTACAGCCCTCTCTAAGCGGTTTACAGTCAGCATATTGCCCCCAACAATCTGGGTCCTCATTTTACTGACCTCGGAAGGATGGAAGGCTGAGTCAACCTTGAGCCAGTGGGAATCAAACTGCTGGCAGTCAGCAGAATTAGCCTGCAATACTGCATTCTAACCACTGCATCACCCTGGCTCTTAAGAGGTTTAAATTGTTTACCTTTTCCTCTTTTGCAAGTTCGAGTTTCCCTTTGGTATCTATGGTCTTTAATAAAGACCCTCTTGTTCTGCAGGATCGAGTTTCCAGACCTGTAGAGCTCCCCCCTGGGGTAAGTTCAAACATCCACTGGGCTCTGAACATCTGAAGCTCTGCCTAAAAATCCATTTTTGAAGAATGATCAATAAACATTATAAAAAGCAGCAGCTGAAGTTCTACATATAGAAATAAAAAGGAATACTGCATTTTTAGGGATATATGTTCCTATCAAGAATATAAAGTATTTCTGTCACATGACAGAAATATTTTTCTAAGTTGATTTTTCATGCTCCCTAATAAACAATTATTTTTATGAAAAATAATTATTTTCAGGATTGTTGCAACTGCATCCCCAAAATAGAACTGTTTCCATTTAAAGCTAATATACAGGAAAGTTTTAAAGTGTTGAAACAAAAATACAAAGGCACATGGAATAAAGAATAAAATTGTATATATGACTTTATGAGTGAAGATAAAACAGCACACCTCAAGATTTGCTTCACCAGAACTGTCATTGTCATCCTCCTTTACTATGTCAGAGCAACAATCTTCTTCTCCTTGTGCCTAATGAAGAAAGATCATGTTAGTATTCCAAGTCATTATATATTAATATCCTAAAATCACAGATACTATAATCAAGAAATTTGTTAGAGATGGTCCATTTTAATCAGTTGCTCAGACATTTGCAATGTTAATGAAAAGCCCTAAACAACTTATGCCTATCCCTAGGTTACCTAATTGCTTCAATATAGGCCTAATTAATCCTTATATTCATGATAGGATGTTTGAAATTCCTTTAATGTTATGGAGGCAGGTATTTCCTGTGGTATATCCACCCTGGGAATAAATTGATTCTAAAGATTACAAAATCTTCCATAATGCAAAGGTTTTGTCATATCCTGACAATGCATCTATTCCCCTAGACCAGAGGTGTCAAACTGCCAGCCTATGGGCCAGATGCGTCATGGCGAAACCGCGCTCACCCCATTGCCGGCAATGGAAAAAAGTCACGATACTGCCCTAGACTGCCTCTTGATTTTATTATGTCAGTGTAATTGTTTATTTTGTTAGTTTTAAGGATTTTTTTTGTTGCTTCACTTAAAATTTCAGAACTGTTTCAGATGTTTGAGGTTTGCATTATCACAATGTAGGAAACTCAACAAATATTTCTGATGTTCAGTGTGTATGCATTCAAAATCTGCCAGTATACAACTGGAAATCTGATTCCTTCTAAGATAGAATAAAAATTGTCATTGCGTATTGAAGCCAATTCTATAATCCTGCTGACAAAATAATATCCATTAGTGGCATGGATGGGAGATTGCAGAACAAACATACTTTCTTAGAGCTATAGCTTTGATGCCCTACAAGAAGAGGTACCACATCAGTGAGCTTGTGGCAGCAGAGTAACCTTCCAAAAGGTCTCCCTGTTATCTTAATAAATGGGTAGATTCACAATAGGAAAGGCAGTACCTCAATCAAGCCCAATACAAAACTTTCACTGCAAGCATTGTCTGATAGGTGTATCTTGTATCAGATAACAACCTATTGATTGCATTTTTGCACCAATTACTATTTCCAAGTACTCTTCAAGGACAGATAAACATATTGCAGATCTCAAGACACATTATAATTAAAGAATGGGTATGTTATGTAAATGTGTCTTGTTATAGCCTTCACCTGCAGATTAGGACTCCTCTCAAATGGCAAATCTGCTCCTGTTGGGGGAGGGCAATCTCATCCAAAACAGGTTTTACCACACTCTCTAAGTCCAGCTTTCTATTTTACAAAGGCATCTTTGTTTTGTCTGGATTTAATTTCAACTTGTTGTCCCTCATCTCTGTTATCAAGTTTAATGTTGATGAAAGCTAACTGCTTCCTTGGAATTAGATGATAAGCAATAATAGAGATGTGCATTATCCCTGGTTTAAAAAACTGTTCAGTTAAAAGGCCCATCAAGTCTGATGTTCACACACTCCCATGCTTTTCACTCTCTATATAAAGAGAATATTGTATTTCAATTATTTTATTTCTTTAATCAATTTGTAAAACAACGTCCTGTCCCACTTAAGATAATTCTCAGGGCTTTCTATGAACTATTAACTTCCATGAATTTAAATTGTAAGACCTCTCAGGAAACAGGGGAAGAGAGACAATGAAATTTATACAGCATACATAACTAAAGAGTTTTTAACACAGTTTAGATTTAATTTGGTGCAGTATGTAAATTGTAATTTGTAAACTATTGTTTGTGGTATTTCTTCAAAGCGGATGCCTGGTGAAGCTATATGCAAATTAGATCCTTGCTCTCCAATGTGAACTTCTAACAAAAACTGGAGCACATGGATTCAGCTGATAATCAATGCACTGCTAAAGGAAGAGGGGATAATACCTTCAGCCATTAAACTTTCTTCTTAAAAAAATACTTCCCTGGATCCACTTATCTACCTACTACTGCTTGAAAAAGCTGCAGAAAAAAAAGCTAGGCAGACAGATTATCTGGATCCTTTCTAAACAAGACATGAAACAAAGCACTTGTTTTTGTAGCTGCAACTTGAAACAGCTATGATGCACTCTCCTTTCCTGTAGACCTCTCTGCAAGATTCAGTATCAAAGCATGGTATCTTTTTGAGCTGCTTGCAAGAGAGGGGGATTAGAAACAGTTTTGAAGTAGTTCCACTTTTTTCTGAGAGGGCAGTATCAATCTGATGCTGTTGCAGAAGCAAATGTCAAGACCTTGGACACTTTTCTGCTTGGGCCTTTGTAACCTTTGGAACAATCTCCTTCATGTAAAATCTGCAATACCTACATGATCTATTAGAGAATGGATACTCCAGATCAGAAAAAAAATATTAGGGGACTGGAGCTCAGAGGCTTGATTTTCTCAGCAATAGACCCTTCCCACTGGAACACCGTGCCCAAGTCTTCCACGATGTTTCAGAAGATGACAAAAAAACAGATCTTTTAAAGAGTCAAAGACAAGTCTATATTTATTGGTTTTACTAAGTTTTATTTAAAAAATTATTTCGTATATTGTGAGCCACATAGAATTGGCAAATGGGTGGCAAAAAAATCTCAGTAAATGCACATTCACTACAGCTTGTCCAACAAATCGGTTCAACTAGATGGGCCCACCTAATTAGTTTGGTTCTGTCCGATTGTCAAAAAAAAACAATTTAACTTTGCCAAAGTTATTAAGGTGATTAAAGCGATGTTCTATTTTTTTTCTCTCGAAAATAATCGTGTGAAAAAGAGAGCAAGCATGCAGATGTCATTTTAGTCTCTTGCTAGCGCTTTCCAGGGATTTGCTAGAAACAAGCGCCTATTTCTATTCTGACATCCTCAACCGCATTCATCCAGTATCTTACTCCAGGGCTTTTCAACCAGTGGTACGGGTACCACCTGTGGTACATTGGCACCTTGAAGGTGGTACGCCACCATCCTAGAAAAGTGGTAACGGGGGAGGGGAATGAGCTGAACCGGTGGTAGCAGCGCACAAGCCTGAGTGAGAGATGGCTGGAGCTGCAGGGCTGTCAGGGCTCAGCGGAAGCGCCAGGATCAGTGCCACTTTCCAGCTGATCGGCGCTTCTTGGGGCTGTCAGGGCTCAGTGGAAGCGCCAGAATCAGCGCCAGGCTCCAGCTGTAGCTCGGCACTGATCCTGGCGCTTCTGCTGAGCCCAGAAGAAGAGCCAATCAGCTGGAATATTGCAGCATCTCCAGGGTCTTGTGATTTACATTCAGATGCTTGGCAACCGATTCATATTTATGACGGTCACAGTGTCCCAGGGTAATGTGAGGTGACCAAAACCTGCTGCAACCACCCAGCAGACAGGGGGAATAAAAACCAAACACCCCCCACCCCACCCCCCTGCCAATCCTCAACAGAAATGCTCACAACAATGAAAACCTCGGACAGGAGGAAGAGCGCTGCCGGGTGGGCAGGCAGGTGTCTTGCTCGGCTGTGGCTTGGGGGGCCCTTTTTTCAGTGCCATTGTAACTTCTAAGAGTCACTAAGTGAACTGTTGTAAGTTGAGGACTACCTGTACTTTATCACTTTTTTCCTTTTTTTTTTTTTTGGGTCATCAAGTTTTTGACACCTTGCTAGGCGACTGGTGGTACTCGAATATTGCCATATCCTAAAAGTGGTACAATGGGTGAAAAGGTTGAAAAGCCCTGTCTTACTCCACCTGTTTCTGACATCACGGGGAAACCGCTTTTTTAACTAAAGACTTCAGCACCGTCTGGCGATGGATGGCTATTTTTGGTCTTTTCGATCGAATCTACTTTAAAGACTGCTGCATAACTCGGCCTTCTAAATCTTTATTGCGCTGTAAACCGGACGGCGTGCTCACTTGTACACCGTATTTTTCCCTTTTAAAAAATATATATATATATCCTAAAGCTACGTTGCGTACTTTGTTAACGAGAGGCTTCTTTATTCGCGAAGCACCTTCCAATTATAACACCCCACAAACATTCAATGAGGGGCTTGAACTGAGGCGATTGTGAGCCTCGCGCGTCGACTGCCTCGTTTCGCTCTCGCCCGTCGCCCCCCCCTCTTGAGGGCGGGGCTACCTATCCGTTACGGCGACAGTCCGTTAGCGCGCGAGACACCCCCCCACCCCACCCCGCCCTTCTCGTGCTCTCGTCACGCGCACTCGCTCCGCAGCCCCTCCCCTCACCATGCTGAGGCCGAGGCTGAGGCAGCCAGGCCGTCCGTCCAACTGTCACTCTCGTCCAACTGCAGCGCTCTGGCCGTTTCGAACTAGGGCGGCCTCTCCGGTTGGTTGAAGGTTTCCGCCCCCCCTCTCAAGGGCCGCCGGGTCTCTTTTTGGACTCTTATTCACCTCCCTCTCGAACGGGTACCAAGCAGGGAAGCAAATTTAGCAGAGTTCTCGGTCAGAAAAGCGAACTACGCAGCGGGAGTCACTGCGAGCGCGGCGTACGGCAGCCATTTTCTCAGACAACGAGGAACGATTAAAAGCGCGCGAGGGAACGTCAGCGACCGAACGAGATGGAGCAGACGAAGCAGCGGAGCGCGCATGCGCCTAGGCCAATATAAACAGAAAAGGAGTGGAGAACTTCACGTGGACTGCGCTTCCCAGAAGGCTGCGCGCGGCCCCTGTGACTCATTCCCTTCATATTTTGCGCTAAGCTTCGCAAGGGACTCTGGGAGCTGGGTAAATCCGTCGGCGCTGGGATTGGCTGGGTTAGGGCTTTCGAAGTTAGAAACTAGGGCAGGGGGTAGGCAACCTTGGCTCTTTGATGACTTGTGGACTTCAACTCCCAGAATTCCTGAATCAGCATAGCTGGTTCTGGAATTCTGGGTGTTGAAGTCCACAAGTGATCAAAGAACCAAAGCTGCCTACCCCTGAACTGGGGAATGGTTTTTTCCCTGCAGTTGCGGATATGGAAGGGCAGCCCCAGTTACAAACGTCTGGTATTTTGTCTCCTTAATTCCCAGGTGAGAAAGAGGAAAATGGGGGAAGCACTGTCTGTATTGCCCCAGGACTCCCTCAAACACCACTCTTCAGTTTTTAGGTTGCCTACCCCTTCACTAACAGAACCTCCACATCAGGGGTCTCCAACCTTGGGGGGTTTATGGCTTGTGGATTCCCAGAATTCCCAAGCCAGCAGGGGGAGTTCTGGGAATTGAAGTCCACGTGTCTTCAAGTGGTCAAGTTTGGATACCTCTGCTCTGGGTAATCGTATGATCTGTCACGATTTTTGTAGACAAAAGCAGAATTAGCTTAATGTATATGTAATGCATTTACCAGACACGCTGGAATGTAGTTCCAAATAAGGGTGTACATACCCAAAGTTTTATTTTTTCCATTCTTTACTAAAGCTAAGATTTAATAGGTGGACTGCAATTTTATATCCCATTGTTATTTTTGACGCTAATCTTCTTGTCTGGTGTCTTTCTTCTGTTAGAGGTAGTGATTTATCCCATATTCCTAAACCTATAAAAGTTCTGTAAATTGCCGGCGGAAGCATAGCACAGAATACAGTTTATTCCTAGTCTGTGCAATGGTAAAAAGCATATGGGTAAAGAATGGGTACTGAGGGTTAAATTGGCATTTAAAAACTGGGTTGACCTAACATCTGCATTATGGTACTTGCAATAATCCACTGATAAATATACACTACTTTGTATGTTGCTGAGGCCTACTGGGGATCAAACCCCCTGTCTGAAAACAAATGGAGAATTTTCACAGACCTTACTTTAGATCAGTGTTTCTCAACCTTGACAATTTTAAGGCATGTGGACTTCAACTCCCAGAATTCCACAGCCAGCATTGCTGGCTGTGGAATTCTGGGAGTTGAAGTCCACATGCCTTAAAATTGTCAAGGTTGAGAAACACTGCTTTAGATCAAACTTATTGCATTCACGGCTTCTCAAGGGGAAAAAAAAATTACACCGGCCTCCAGGCAGACTTAACGAAAGACCATATGGGGGAGCTGCTGAGTTGCTTTCACCAGGAAAAGCTCCTGGTTGTCCTCCAATGTGGCTGTATTTTCCTTTTGTGCATGCATTTTTCTCTTGGGCGGAAATATCGTCTTTACCCATCTGAATGCACTGAATCCTTTTCAGCTTTGTTTTCTCTCTGATGGAAGAATCCACAGCTTCTCTTAGCACGGTTTGTATAACCTTTGAGATTCTAGTTCCTGACGCTCACTTTTTCTTTCTTTCTTGAGGTTGTATTCCTTAATTGTAGTCGTTGTAACCTCCTGAAAGGTTACATGTGCTGTAGAACTAATAGACTTCATCTGGAGCACTGATGTAAGCTTGTTTACATCATCCTCCAGATATGATCGATTTGGGGCTTCAGGAGCTCAAGTTAATCCTCCAACCTTTGTTTATGCTCAAAATTATCCAGATTGAGTTATG